ACACACACACACACACACACACACACACACACACACGTAAATGTGTGAATGAATAAATGAATGAAATGTTATTTATTAACTACTGACCTGGGAGAAGGAAAGGAAACCAACATCTAGGGAGCAGCTTTCAGATACAGGCTCATTTAGTCCTTTCAATCCAGCAGGAAGAGGTTCTTGATCCCCATCCTAAAAACAAAGAGGCCAAGGCCTTTGGAGGAGAAGCACTCTGCCCCAGTTCACCACCTAGTAAGGGACATAGCCCATGACATTTCTGCTACAGCCTCTCTCCACTAGCCAACTAAGTAAAAGGGACTCTGACTCCAAAAACTTTATTCTAAAGCTTTTGTAAATATTAAGTGTTTGTTATCTTGAATTTTTTAAAAAGGGGTCCTTGCATTTTGGGAGGCAGAGGAAAACTTGCTGGGGTAGCTAGTCTTGGAGACAGAGGGCACCGCAGTGCACCAGGGGAGGAGGGAAGCAGAAAGGAAGGACAGCAGGCACAGTCCTGGTCCCTGGGCCCCTCTCAGGCCCCATGCTGAGTCCTCACAGGACCCTGGTACTAGCAGGGGTTTCCTGGCAGGCCTTGCCTGCCACGGTCATCAGGCACCCTGTCCCTCACCTGCCAGCCTTTGCAGCCTGAGTCCTTGGTGCTGTGGAAACCCTCCTGCCTCACCTCCACCAGCATTACATCTCCCAGTCCTCCTTCTTCCCCCATCCTCCTCTACTGTTTTTCTCCCTCCACAGGAAAGGAAAGAGAAAGAACAAGATTGTGGCTGGAATTGGATGGAGAGACAGTGGAGCTAAGGCAATCTGAGTGTCTTCTTAAAAATCCCGGCCGCATCACTTCTGTCACCATCACGGCTACTGATCGTGTTTATTGGGCTCTCATCAGGGCCAGGCATGGTCTCATCAGCATTCAGGAGTGTCCCAGAGTCCCAGGTCACACAGGCAATCCGTGGCCAAGCCAGCCCTCCAGTGTGCCTCCAGAGCTGTGCCCACACCCCTGCTGTGGGGCATCCTGCCTCTCGTGGTCCTGTCCCAAAGGAGAACAACTTGTCCTATGGCCACGGGAGCCTTGAAGCCTGCCCAGTGAATACAAACGCTTCCTTCCCTCACTGCTCTGGCACCTGACTTCCTGTCAGAGGCACATCCTTTTATGGGCCTGGGCCTGCTCGATGGCTGACTGGAAGTTTTCACCCCCTCTTCTGGCTCAGTGAAGTGTCTGCCTCAGGTAGAAGTCATGGTACCAGATTCTCATGCCCCCACTTGCTGGGATGACCAAAAGGTAGCACCACCCCAGCTGACCGCATGCTTGTTCCGTCCCTCTGTGGAGGGATGACTGTCCCTTCCCTCCCGAGACAACTTAATGGTGTGCACATGTTCTGCAAATGCTCAGGTTTATAGCAGATTACAGCTAGCCGGTGAACAGGCCACTGCATGCATTGACAATGGCCTATGCCTCACCCTGAGAAGAAGTCCCATTGCTCCCCAGGACCTACAGCGACCCCTGAGGGATTCTGCCCAGGCTCTGAGCTCAGCCACCAGATGGGCAGCTTTTCTGCCAGCAGCTCCCCATCTTGGAGACCCAGAGGTTGAAGAGAGTGAGTGTCCAGCCTGGGGAGTGGGGCAGGAGATCCCAGGTACTAATTCAGGACCTACTCACCAGTGGATGCTCAGTGAGGTATAAAAAGAAGGGGAATAGACCTTTAAGGATGTCTGCACAGGACCAGAAAGGAGTGGGCTCAGCCACAGAGGTGAGGCATAGGCCTCCTGCCATAGGGCCGAAACCTGGAGAGAAGCTGTTAGGTCCAAGGATCTCATGAATGGAGAGCTTTCAGACTCTTGGGGGTCAGGTATCAGGACCCCTCTGAGAAAGACCTCCAAGTTCCTTCCTTGCAAATGGAGGCAACTCAGGTGAGTACGGGCTTCCATCTGGAGGCAGAGAACTAGGTCTGCCACCAAAGGAGAGAGGCTTCTCACCTGTCTTTCACTTTCTGCCAGTCTCAGGGCCTGGTTCCCAGGAGCCACAAATGCCTCCAGGCTTCCTGGCTTTTCCTATTAACAGACCTCCATCTCCATATTGTCCCCTCCATCCTGTGGGAGAGGGTTTTCAACTCTGCAGATGCGGAAAGGTTAAATGACCCAATGAGGGACGCGAGCCCAGCAGTAAATGAATCTGGACTACAGTCTGGGCCTCTAACACTTCCTGCGACACTTTCTGCTTTACACTGCATTCATCTTTTACCAAGGTGGTCTTGTATCCTCTGCTAGACTGAAGGCCCTGGCAGGGCAAAGAGGGTTCTCAGTTCCTTACTTTGTTGGTTGGTTCTGCCCTATTCACTAATCACAGTGTGAATGTAATCGTGGATGGGTGTAATTAAATGAACTTTGGCAGAGACCCTCACCACTCCTCCCACTTTTAACCCAAGTATTTCAAAAGCTTATTTTTTCTTTCCCTTGTTGGCTCCTGTCATTGGATTCCGTGAACTTGTAGAGAGCTTCTGAGTACAGACAACTGGAAAAAGACAAAATAAAAATAACCTATTGGTGGATAACAGAATGGGAAAGTCTCTAAGTACCATGGGGGAGGACACTGGTCCCAAAGCCAGCTGGAAAGAGATAAGGTGGGGTGGGCAGAAGCCTCTGAGAGGCTGGGCTTCCTCTGAGGTCCTGTGGAAATAGGAGGAACAGCCCAGTCAAAGGTCCTGTTTTCTGCTTTTGTTCTGTCTTGGCCAGTGCCCATCCTGAGGCTCCTGTTCCCTGAAAAACTGGCTGCTGGGCACTCACTGTGCAATATAAAGTGAGGCACCTCCCTGCAAGGGACTGCTGCAGGCTGGCCAAGGATGCAGACCCTCTATCCCTGCTAACAGTGCTTAATTGAATCGGGCCTCTGCCACTGTGCCTCCTCCCGTAGTCCTGATGACTGTTCCTGTTTAGATTCTTTCCTGCTGGCATTGATTGTTGCTTTTATTGGCAAACAGTATACCAAAATGAAAGTAAACACAAGCGTTTGTGCAGACAGAGAGTAAAGTGGATTCTGTGTCTCCAAGGCTGGGAAAAACCTTGCTCCAAGACCCAGTGGTCAAACTGACATCTGATCCTCCCCTCAGCTCACCTCTGCAATTATTATAAGGATGTTTGTCTCCTTCCACCTCGCAGCGTGGCAGCCACCGTCTTCCCCACATACCCTGAGTGCTTGGCACACAATTCATAATTGTGGACTGACACCCAGGCAAGGCTGTCCAGGAAGCAATCATTTAGGGCTAGGCCTGGCACCTGCCTCAACTCCAGTTTCCACATGCAGCTGCCCCAGTGGCCAATCACCCTCCCCTCCAATTTGGGGTTAGGGGTTTGGTCCTGGAAAGGCAGGCAACAACAGCTATACAGCCAAAGAACCTTCACAGTGCTATCCTGTGGTGTTCAGTGCCTAGGCCAGCCATTCCTGCAAGCTTAGTGCAGTGGTTCTGCATTATCATCTTACCCCCATTTCAGAGATGTAGAAATCGGGCTGACATACTCCAGCTTGCCTTACCAAAGTCACACAAGCCTGCTGTTCAGATGACAATCTGGCAGGACCTGGATTTGTGCATAGACTCAAGTTCTTCACCTGTAATACAGACATAATGACATCACCTCTTAGTTAATGTTTACTTGTTTATTGTCTGTATTCTGCTCTAACTGAAAACTCCAGTGGGCAGGGACTTTGGCTTATTCATGCTATGTTGTCAGAGCCTAGAACAAGCACCTGGCACATAGCAGTTGCTCAAAACTCGTGTCTTAAATGTAAATGGCATAAGCCCATCCATGCCAGACCCTGGCCATCTACTTGCAGGTAGTTTCTATATCCCCAGTTCCCCAGACTGGTGGAAGGAAGCCTCCGGCTGGGGCTGAGGGAACCTACTGCTGGCCTTGTGGCAAGCTCAGCAAAATCCCAGGAGTGCGGAGGCCAGAACAGTCGCCAAGGGGCAGGGCTGTAAGGCGATGTGGACTTGACGGGACTTGGCTTAAGCCCTCAGGTTCCGTTTTTCTTTTTTTCTGCCCCCCGAAAAACATTCTTCTGGTCAGAGCACAGCGTGGTGCCCCTTCTGAGGTTCCTGCAGAGAAGACCCCTGCCCTGAGCTGTAGATTTCTGGAGAAGGTACAGGGTAGGCAGATGGAGCAGATGCCAGGCCAGGCCATGGAAGAGGCCGCCTCGTTAGCCGGTCCCGGAGGAGATAGGCGGGAACCACGCGAACGACAGGCGGGCGTAAGGGGGCGGGGCGGCGCCCGCGGGCGGTACCCGCGCTCCGGCGCCGCTCCACCTTAAGCGCCCGGATCTCCTTAAGCGCGGGCTCTAGAGCCGTGAGCCCGGGGGCAGGGCCTCCCATGCAAATAAGGGGTGTGGGCTGGAGGGGCGGGGCG